CTTAGGCTGAATAGCACTAAAATCTGTAACTTGGGGCCCACAGCTTTTGGATTCTGATTGAGATGGCACCCTCCTCTTTGTGCGACTGACGAAGCAACCTGGTCACCCAACTGGTCAACCAGGTTGTCCGATGGCTGGGGGTCGCGGGGAGACATGCACGGAACCTGCGCAGCCTGATGGCTGGGTTCCGTCCAGGTCACTGTGCCACCGCCGCCGCCGCGCGCGGCGCGAGCGAAAGAATGGGTGGACAAGGTGGCATTGACTGAGAAGGACGGTTTCAATGGGAAGGAGGGTGGAGGTGTTTTCTTGATGTATCCTACTGTACCAAGAAGAACATGGGACAAACAGCTTAAAACACAACATCTACTGTATATGGTTTGTGTGACATTTGTGTAGTGTAGGTTGGGTCTTTCAGAGGTTGAAGTGCACTGCTTATGAGAATAATTGTCTCACTCTTTGATATGTGGGTTGAACAAAAGCCGGTGACACCCTTAAAATTGGATGCACGCTTCAGTGAATGGCTGCTTGCAAGCAGAAAACAGCAGCGTGCCAAGTAGCCTCTCGCAGCGCAGATCTAATCTCAGCGATGCGTGATGGTACCCGAACCATGAAGCAGGCAGGCCCAGCCAAGGTGTACCACCGGCGACAGCCGGAGGTCGGCGGTTTAGGAGCACCGTTTGGTCACATGGCGCTCGTAGACGTGGTTCCGGAGCGGAGCCTCTTCTAGGCCGTAAAGGCTTTGGCGTCCAGGCAACAGGAAACCAGCCATCCTAGGTCGCGTCAAGCGAACGTCAAAGTTGGAAAGAGGCCGACCTAAGAATACCTAAGATACTTTTGATGAAAGACGAAAGCGTCAAGCAGACACTGGTACCACCGAACGAAAACACCAAACACTGTAAATGGTACCATCTCAGGTGGTGCAGGGTTATTTTCCTGATTTTTCCTTCCGGCCGGAAAGCCATTAAACACTATTAAACACTCATACTTATGATCCAGCTGGGATGACTAGTCAGCTTAACAGAAGCTATTTTAAGACAGATGGATTCATGTTCCTCGCCTCCGACTTCGGTGTCTTCCACCTCTCCCGGTTTTCACTTGGGTGCGACGGGTGAAGGTTTCTTCCCACCGGTGCCGTCCCCAGGCGCCCACGACGCGCGAGTCCCGGCGGCACGAAGGCACGGACGTCGGGTTCAGGGGGTTCGGTTCGGGTGAGGTCACCCCCAGTCAGCCCCCCCCCCCGTTCCGCAGAGGAGAGTTACGGTGCTTGGAGACATGGACTCGGAACTGGACGAACCCAACCGTGTGAGCCCGACAGTTGCTGCCGATCATGAACTGTTGAATCAACCATCCGTGATTTGCAAGCTGTACAGCCTGGTGCAGGCTATCCTCGAGGTCAGGGTCGGTGCGGGAGCCTGGGGCGCGCAAGCAGCTTGCAACACCATCAGGGTGGCAGCAAACACATGCCTCAAATTCCGACGAAAGGTCTGCGATCTTCACTGCCCAGCTCACTGCGATTGTTTGACCAGTTGGGAGTTTGGAGCTTCAGACTGAGCTTTACCGAGCCTTTTGTCTCTTCCAAAAGACAGACAACAGAATCACCATGAATCACAGACTCGCGACCGCCCCAGTCACTCGTGAGGGACCGATCCGTACGCGGCGCGTGAAGCCAAGCGCCGAGGTATTTTAAGGACACCCGTGAGTCCCAGGCGGAGCTGGGACGGTGCTGGGTACAGGATGGAGGGAAAGGCCCCCCAACGTTGTTGGGAAAAGGCACGTGTCAGTCTACCAATGGTGACTCTTCCATTATATATATATATAGAGTTATATAGTTATATATGTATTCTATATAAATACATGATTTCATACATGATTCAGAGCTGAAATGATTCCCATCTAAGCAAAGCAAACGGCTCCAGCGCCGCCCGCAGGGCCCGGTCTCCAGCGCCGCCGCCTGGCTGGGCGAGCAGGCCGAAGCGTGGCATGGGGATACTCTTGGATTTAGCTGGTTTTGGGTTGGATCTATGAGTCATTCCAAGAACTTCCCTATTCCAAAACATTCCAAATGATCCCAGAGCACTTCCAACAATTCCCAAGCATTCCAGAAAATTCCAACACGTTCTGGATAAATCCGGAAAAAATTGCAAACAAAAGAGTATCCTTGTGAATCCTTGTGATGAGTACATATGAGTACCCCACGGGCTTAAACATGGCAAACATAGTTCTTGATCTGCGAAGAGTTGTGACACAATTTTGTAGGAAAGGTGGTGGTTTTGGCAACCGCTGGAAACAGGGGCGCCCTTAACACAGTATCGGGTAGCGGCTAGCACATACTAGCCCAAAAAGAACACTGACCATGCCAGGGTGGGGTAGCAGCAACAAGGGTCAAGTGGGATTCAAGAGAAATCATGCCCAATGGAATGTTGAAATGAAAGTGGATGACTACAAGTCATTTTAGGAAGGAACAGGTGAACAGGGCTGGACAACTGTGAGCTTCATGATCAAACAGTGGTCTAATGTGGTCTACCATACAACGCCCTGTGGAGAATCACATCCTGTCGAGTTGGAGATGTAGGATCATTTGCATCAGTGGCTACCGTTGATGCCCGACTTTCCAAGTACGGACATCCGTAAGCACACACGGCATTCCGTACACAGCTGGGGAGAGTGGGCCCGTGGGGGCTGCCCTTGGAGACCCTAAGATCCACAACAGAAGGCCACCATGAAAAGCATCTCGGAGTTCTTCCAGTCCCTGTCCCTGTCGAGCGAGCTTTCACCGAAACGGCCTAGCTATGGGTTTGATGATGAGAAGCAGTTGGCCAAGAAACCTATTAGATCCATTAGGAGTACCCAGCAACATGAACTACCTGGGAAGGAACAACAACACTGTAGACTGTAATTAGGATTCCGATTCTGCTGTGACGAAAAAACCTCCTCCATGCTGCTTCTGCGTCCGTCGTCTGCCGCGGTCTTCGGCTTCAACGCCCCCCACAGGAGCCTCGTCGCCCAGACCCGCGGAAAAGCCCGAGCACCAGACACTTGGACTGGGTCGGGCGGCGGCTAGTTGGGGCCGTTGGGGGCTGATGGCAGACGCTGATGGCAGACACCCGAGGCTCCGAGGATCACGGACGATCAGGGCAAGCTCATCTCATCATTTCCATGCAAAATACAAACGACTCCCACCCCAAAACGTCCTGGATGATCTGGATGACACCCCACCTATCTTCCCCTATTCCCCCCTTCTCCCTGGGAGACCACCTCCCTAAACCCAGGCGGCTCTCGTTTTCGGTTTGTCCCCGAGCGGTGCCGAGGCCAAGGATGGAAACCCAGCTTAAGGACAGACCGAGAGAGTGGACGGTAGAACACGCGGGCTCCGGACGCGGACGCGGACGCGGCTCCGGAGGCAGGCGGTTCTTTGGGTTTTGTAGAGGTGGTTTTCTTGGTGATGGTCAATGTGTGATGGTCCTCTATTTTAGGTCTGAAGACGCCCTGAGTGCTACGCAGCTACGCAGCTACGCAGAAGCAGTTTCGATTGGCAGGTGGCCTGTCATGGGAACGTCATGGGAAGTCAGATTGATCATTCCTATTTGGGATGAGGACTTACTATCTATGATGAGTGGGCCATCAACCCTTCCTCCAAGTGATCCTGCCAGTTCCCCTAGAACGACCCAATTCTCAAGAAAACCTCGAGGAAACTGGGCTAATTCTCGGTCAGCGTGTCCCAGCGTGTGCCAGTTTCCTCTGTCTGCCCAACTCTGGGATCAGCATTTCTGCTTGAAGACCCGCAAGAAATCGGATACAAAGCACGAAGAGAGGCAGTTGAAGAATTCCATCGGCGCAGGAACAAGGCAGTTGAAGGGGAGGATGACACGGGAACAAATCAAGACCTGGAAGAGGCCAATTGCAGGAAAGTTACGTTTTTTGTTTTCAGCTGGTTTGTCATGCTTTGTAGCTGCCATCAGCTCGAGATCCCCAACAGACCTGCTTTGATACGGAACACGCATATATACTCTCAACATGTGATTAGGACGGAGGGTGGACCCATGGGCAATGTCCTAATTGGGACGAACCCGAACTTTTGTTTCCGGTTGATCTTCCGCTTTCAGGGTCTTGCTGTTGAAGAGCTCCAGCGAAAGTCCTTTTCGGTGGGGAGCGACCTGCTTCAACCCTCGGTCGGGGTTCAACACGTCTGAGCTCGATCGCAGGAGCACGCCTCGGCGGGTCCTCTCGTGACCAAAAAGAGATGCGGTGGTTGACCCTGCGGTGGTTTGTGGCAAGTGCTTGACCCTGCGGCCACCGGGACCAGCGGTACCAGCGGGGGACGAAGAGAACACTAGTTCCGGGGCCAAGACTCGCGGTGGAGCACACTAGTAGGGAAGAAGAACACACAGTGGGCAGGATTGGCCGGGTGTTCTTTTTTGTTTTGAGACTTTCCTTCACTAGATGGAAGACCCACTTGGTAGACGAGGTCAAGGAAGAATAAGATCCTGGAAGGAACCCCAATGTTCGGATTTTGAGAACAAGTGAGTGCAGGAGAGCTTGAGCGACAAGTGTCAATCTTTGGTCCTAATGACTTGAGGCTTTGACAGCTGCGTTTCATGCGTTTCAAGCTGCGCACGGGTCCAAAGCGCGCTCTGAATCCTTCGGCTCAGCTGCTTGTATTAGAACTCATGGCGCACAAGTGTAGGTCAAAGAAGTCAAAGGAGTGGAGTCAACGACTATGGATGATCCGGTGGAGCCAGCCATTGCAACAAACTGTAAGTGGAGCTATACATCAGTTCCTTCCACACACAGACGGACGATGCCTGGCTTCATCCCTTTATCCCTTCACGCCTTCATCGATCTTTCAGGAGAAGCATCCCACCCACACCCTGAGCAAATTCCAGGCTTTTTGCCTTCCAAGCCTCCAGCACTCACCACCACTCACTACCAGTCACCACCCTCACGAAGAAAACCGCCACGACGGTCGCCCCGGTCGCCCACCCGGCCACGTCGGTCGCGCCATGAAGCGCTCGGCGATTCCGCCGGAAGTGGCGCTGGGTGGACGGGACTTGGAGCCACTGGGACCGATGCGGAGCCACGGCGGGCGGGCGGGGGAGCGTGGTGACCGCGCGGGGGCGTTTAGACTCGAAGACCGGGGGGCGGGGGGCGTGAACGTGTGGTGAGAAGCCGGGGCCTTAGACTGGGAGAAAGGCAGGTGATCTTTTTGGAGACCGAATGGAGGGGTGACCGGAGACACCCGGCGTTCTTCATGTTTGGGCCAGTTTTTGGAGCGTTTTCCTCACTGCGAACCCACCCATCTCAAATCCTGGGAAAGACCCCTTGGTTTGTCCGAACCGGCTCGCCTCCTCGCGCGCAAAGACCCACGACGCGAAGCGTCCGCCCCGCCGTGGTTCCTCCGCTGAAACTCGCCGAGGTCCTCGGGGAACAAGGTCTCCATGATGCCGACCATCCAGCCCTACCAGGTCTCCGACCGGCGACGCTCCACGGGCGGGTCGAGACCCGTTCATCGTCCCCCCCTTTTGGGAGCGAACGATCAAAACGGACGATGCCATTCGTTCGGGGTGGTGAAACTCGGAGGTGGAGAGATGACCCGAAAAAAGCAGGCTTTTCGGAGCGAGGGACTGTTTGGGGGATTGTTGGCATGAGTGAAGAGTAGTAGAGTTCAGTTGGGTTGAGAGTTGAAAAGAAAGAGAGCCATAGCAAAAAGAGTCGGACTTTTGCATCCTTCACGGTGGAGTTGGTCCACGGTTTTGGTGATCTGTGCTCAGTCCCAGAAGTGAAGTAGTCTATCCTGTTGGCTGTTTGAAACTCATCGGCTGCTTGGAGAGAAAGGCCTCCCCATGTTCTTCACTGGATTTGCACCACCAGGAGCTATAACATGCTATAACTAGTTTTAAAAGCGTCCAACCTGAGGGCATTGTGTACAATTCTCCTGAGCACATCATCCGCAAAAACCAGACGCCCCACCTGGCCCCAAGCTTCCACTCGGGGCTTTGCGTCCATCCGTCACTATAGATGTTACTGGTCGGTTTCATGCCTCTCCGTAACGGGCAACACTCTCCCAGTCGGACCACTCTTCCATCTGAAGCGCCAGGCACATGGACTTGGACAGGCGTCCGACCGGGCTCAGACCGGGGTTGGTCGGTCCCGGGGATGGTTCGATACAGCGGTGTGGAGGTGTGGAGATGGGTGGGTTTGAAGGGTGAAATGATCAATATCAATCATATTCAATCATACCCTTACCAACCATATATGTGATTGAGCATGTGATTGAGTATGCACAGTAACAGGCACATGAAGCACATTAACATGATGGGATTTGTCGTTGACTCACATAGCCATGCAATGGCCAAGTACTTGTACCGATGGTTGCTTGCAGGGCTGTGCAGAAATAGTCCGAGAGTCGGGGGGACTCAGTGAAAGATCTGAATGGCAATGTGCAGACAGAACTCATTGGGAGTGAATTGTGGAAGGATATGGGGAAAGTGACCCACCAACATGGGGCATTTTCCCAAACACCATTCTTGTCCATGAAACAACTGCCGACCAGTTCTTTGATCCTGACCTGAGAAAACCTGCAGCATCACATCGTCTTTCGGCCATACGGTGGCCAGGACGAGAGAAAAGTTCATGGCCGCGGCTCGACCGACCCAGAGACATTCAAGAAGGTGCATTGGCGCGATGAAAGACGAAAAAGCCACACCTGCAACGTCGAATCGTGGAGGTGGTGGAAGTGGGTCAGAGGTTTGGGTCCAAAGTCTGCATCATGTACGCACCAACAAAAATCTGGTCTGCAGACTTTGGAGCTGAAAAGACAATAAAAAAAGCAGATTTGAACACTCAAAAGAAGCCGGATGTCCGTTTCTGAAAGACACCGGCTTTCCATCCCTCGCAAGGACGACGCACCGATGCATAAACCGACGTAAACCGATGCGCGCATGCGTTCGCATGCGTTCGCATGCGCTTGCTGCGAGCGGGGAGCTCCCGGAGCCCGTCGGCAGCCGGGTTGGCCACCCAAAGTCTTTTGGGATCTTTTGGGGGTGTAGGTGAAGCACTGCCTTTTCTTTTTTTTTTTTCTTATTTTCTTCCTGTCATTATTTCAAGTCAGGCAAGTCAGGTTGTCCCCCCCAAAATGGTACCAAACTGCCCTGTCTTTTGGCACCTCAGAAGCCATTGCTCCGAAAAGACACAGAAACGCCTGGTACAGGACCTCGCTTTGCTTTCCATGTCCTGGTACAGAGGGCTTCGTCGCTGTCGACGAGGTGCGTCTTCTCTTCGATCGCCAGGTGGCCGCCGCCGTGGGTGGCATTTGGGTCCTAGGCGCGTGCCCGCCTGCTCGCTGCGTCCGCCGCGTTCGTGGGGCAACGCAGATGGGGCAATGGGGCGCCCGGTGATGGGGTACGGAGCATAGAGGGGGGGGGGAAGGAAGCGTGGGGAAAGCGTCATGACGCTTCAGGTCCATTGGGTTGTGAGGTTTCAGCGTTTCGGGTTGTATGACAAGCAACCTGGAACTCGAAGCTGGTTCAAAGGGCAGAGTTCTTCCATCAATTCCAATGATGCTAATATGCTGGTTCAAAAGTGATGCATGCCACTCAGCATGGGAGTTCAGGTCGGCATGGGGGTGGGCATGACTCAGGTGGTTTGCCACTCAGCATCGGATTCATGAGTTACTTCTCACAAGTTGGTTCAGTTTCCTAGAGTTCAGTCTAGCTCAGTTGACATATATACTGTCTATATCTGGAGTTCTGTGGGAGTCTGCCAGGCGTTCTGCTGGGCTTTGACTATCTTTGGCCTGTGTACCTGGTGCTCCTTGGCAAGCTTAGCCGTGGTCAGGATTCCAGCTCATTGATTTGGGGTCTCAAAGTGTAAGGATCACAGTGACTAGACTTAAGAATCCCATTTGGCTGCATGGTGCAATCTGGTGCAAGCCATGAAGCATTCTGAAGCATCATTCATTCGACTTGTGCAGGGGGCGAGGGGCATAGAACGGAATGGTAAAGCACAGCATCCCACGCAAGAAACACTGGGGAGACAAATTCAGTTGGAGCCAGGTTCACTGCTGTGACCATTCTCTTGAGATCAACGTGCCCGTCAAAAGCTAAAAGATGATCATTTGGATGGCCATCCAAGTAGTAGGTATATAAACTTATAGTATTATTATATAGGTATCAAGTCATAGTTGGTATAGTATATACAATCTTATATTTCAAATCTGCTTGGACCTTCACCATCCGAGGTGATAATGCACTCTTCGAGCCCCATGAAGACACCTCCCCTTGGTGCTCGGTGCTTGTAGAGGTTTGTTGGATTTGGCACTTAGATCGTGACCAAGATGGCACTGACGTGCACTCTTTTTTCTCTGTTCGGGCTTACTGTCATGGCACTGCCTGCTCATGACTGCCTCATGTTCAGCTAGTGTGGATGACTGCCACGTGTGGATTTGTCCGGTGACTTTCCATGTGACACATCCCTTCCACGAGGAGACTCACCCGACAGCTGCGTCCACACCGGCCCGGGGCTCCGCTCTTCAGGGCCGCTCGCTCTCGCGTCGCGTGTTCGATCCATCAGGTTGGAGCTCCTGGGGGGATTGCTCTCCATCCCGCCATTGCTCGGAGGCCGAGAAAACACGGAGGTGACAGGGAGGAGAAACACAGAAAGACCATCTTTAAGAGGTCTGTGACGGACCGCCAGAGCTAAGCGGTCCATCCCTGTAACTTCGCCATTCACAAAGCCTTCGGCTCAGTGAATTCTTGGCTTCATCGCCGACCTCATCGTTTCAGATCCGCGCTCCACACCGGGGCGATCCAGGTCACCCGGGTGAAAACGCGCCGACCGACGTCGACCGGGGATGACTGGAAACGACGCACCGAGGTCTTGGTTGATGAGTCCCTTCTCGTGGATCTTCAGCTGGTTCAACCGAGGCGATTGGACCCGATCCATTCCCACGAATGGATCGATGGAGGGTTTGGAGGGGTTGGAGGGTTGGAGGTAGGTGAGGAGTGGGCAAGATGGATTGGGGATGCAGTCATCCGACGCTGGTCATGCAGTTGGTGGTTCGTCGTGACAGAAGAACATAGGCTCGTAACCTTTTGGGCCCGAATGCCTCCAGTGCAAAACACATGCAGTTCACACCGAAGCAGTTTGTCTGCAGGACTTGGAGGATAGCACTGGAACGCGTCATCGTATTACAATGGATCCGAATTGCTCTTGATGTTCGATTCTATTATGCCATTGCCGTGGATTGACATGTTCTGACCCCATGTTGGCCGCCTGCGATTTGGGCCTGTTGGTTGGATGGCACCGAAAGAGACCGCTCCATCTCGATACCCGCGCGCGCTCGCGGTCTCGCAGCGGTCAACATGATGCGGTAGAAGGGTTCATGTGAGACTTCCTGAGAAAAACTATTGCTGACACTGACACCCCAGAGAATGCAATGAACAATCATGGAAGCAACGCATAAAACATATATATATATATTTGTGTATATAACAAGGTTTATCCTTAAGTAAGCTGGTCCTCCATGCAGTTGGGTGCAACTCGCGTCAACAATTTCACTCACAGACTGTTCGGATCTGGTCTGCTGCTGTGTCTCCACTGAGTCCTCAGATCAGTGGTAGATTGGATTTGCTGCGGAGATTCCAAGGTAGACATCGGAATGAAAGCTAGAACCCGTTTTCTGCTGAAATGGTCCAGAGAAGTTTCATGAATGGTCCAGAAGGCACTGGTTAAACAAATCCAATCAAGGTACAGGTAACTGTTTGAACCATTTCACTTGCGTTTCAGAGTGTTGCTTGAGCAGTTCTCTCTCATGACCGCCAATTAAATGTTCCTGACGCTTTCAACATAGAATCAAGGCTTTGGATGGCTTTGACGTTTTTTATGTGTGCACTCGCCTCAGCCGACACTCGAGGTGCGCCCCTGATCTCTGCACAGGGCGGGGCCCAGGAGCTTCGGCTTCAGACGGAGCAGGCCCAAACCGCCCGCCGCGCAGAACACGCGCCAACCGGCTCCGCTGAGCGTCATCCCATCACAGGTGTATGCCAGGATCAAGATTCCTGACTTGCTAGCTGCTAGCCAATTCTGGGGTCCAGACACCGCTTGATAGTGAATTCTGGGGTCTGACTAGGTTTGATAAGAGAATTTGGAGTCGTCGGATTTGTTTCGACTTTCCCCAATACTTTCGACACGTTGACTCAGCAGGCGCACTCGCCTGGAGCAGACTCCGCTGAAAATCCTCCGCCCTCTCTGGTTTTTGTCCTGACCAGGTCCATGCTTACACCGAGCAGTATGCCAGCAGCTCAAGCACCCGCTGCCATCTTTCAGGGAGATCCTATATTGGTGCAGATTGGAGTTTGTGGAACACTCCAGTTTTCTGCAAAGTTGGAGTCGGTCAGCATTTTAGCTGAACTTCATCTTTCAGTCCAGTGATGAAGGGATTTGCGGCAAAACTTTTGAAAGAGAAAGAGAGAAAGAGAGAGAGAGAGAGGAAAAAAAGAACAGAGAGAGCCCCTGAAACGCCCATGTGAGCTGGGGTGTGTGTTGCTGAAACTCGGATTCTCGCTAGGTCATCCAGTCAACAATTACCGCCAAAGATCTCAGAGACTAAGAACACCATGTATCTCCGGTAGAACTAACATGCATAGCATGTGCCATACCGATGTTTGGCATTGCTTCATGTGCTGAGTTAACACGCACCTCTGTTAGAGCGGATGCTTTGGGTCACGAAGAATCACGGAGAAGGAGCCATTGGCATTGGAGGCGTGGACTCATCTCAAGACCCCTCTCCTTCTGTTGCAGAAATCAAAAAGCATCGCGTCCCAGGAGCATCCTGTTTTGGGTGTGCTGATGAATAGAACACCCCCCTCCTGGAGTGTAAAGCCTATTTGTATTGTTTTTTTTGGGGGGGGTTTTATCAATCAGTACCATGCCTCTCCGCGATCTCATCTCCCTGGACCCCCCGGTTTGGGACCACCTGCGGTTTGGACCTCCGGTTGGGGACCACAGCGGCGCCCAGCTCGCTGCGGGGGTTTCCTCCTCGGGCGCTTTCAGGTGCAACACTACGGCGACGCAGCGCTGATTTTCGCAACTCACGATGGCCGGGGGGGTGTGGTGGGGCCGCCCTGGCCCGGCGCGCTTTGCGGGTGCCGCCACGGTCGATGTGGCCCGGCATGCCATCCGATCTCATCCGATCTCACACGTGCTGCAGGGTTTGATCATTTGTTATGAACGATGATGATTTAAATTGCGATACGTTGACATATAAGGGCCGTGTTTTTCTTGGCCTTTGTCATTCTTTCGAAAGGCGAAGTGAGGGGAGTTGAAGAAATCCCAAGGAGCAAGGTGGGTGAAGTGGGACATGCGGATTCAGAAAGAGCAGGACAAGAGCGGGACATCTCACGGAAGGGGAGTTTCCATGAGTCACGGAGTTTCGAGCCAACGGATGCAACTTCTGTCTATGATCATGATGATCCTTTCTTCTGGGTGTGTCGGGTTGCGTGAGGGCTGAACGGGCTCTGGAGTGTCAGATCAGAGTGCCTCCAAGCAGCCTTGCTCACATGGATTCATGGCATGCACCAGCCAAAGCTAGGGCTACGGCACAGCTAGCACTGCGTTGCAGGACCATGCGTTGCACGGTGCTTCCCATGAGGCATTACGTCTTCAGTTCTTTCCTTGGCATTTGTTTGGCTCGCCGGAAGAAGACACGACAGGCAAACAGGCAACACTATCCACAGAATGTGGATTTTGCTGGATGTAAGCCCCTCTTCATTTTGGATCTCTTCTTGATTTCGGGGTCTTAGAGGTCCAGAGATCCCAAAGTTCCACACCCTAATTGGCTTGAGGGGCGAGGTTTCGGATCCCTAAAGCCCTACTTCGAGTCGCCCGGGGCGGTCCGCCAGGCTACCCGCAGATCGTCAACGGCTTGTTGTACAATCATGACCTAGGCGGGCGCCGGTTGGTTTTGATGGTGATTCAGCAGTTGTTTCCCAGATTTTTCCTACATTGTGATGAACTAAGACAAAAGAATATATATATATATATGATATAACCCATAATGCATGCAGTGTTGCGGAGAGTGGACACTGCCTTCATGAACAAAAACACGCCTGGTCAGAGAAGACGCATACGCCTGCCATGGTTGGTGACTCCGTCAGTTTAGTGCGACACGGGCACTGAAAAGCAGGTTTATAAGACGACCCCGGACCCTCTTCCCAGATGGATGTTTGCTGAAATCCATTGATCTGCCCATATCTTTCTTCATTTGATCACCTTGTGCCTCATTTCATTGGATCAGCACAAACTATCACAGGTTCGCGGATTCTTTCTAACTGGTCTGCTCTCAGTTGTGACCGCCCATACTCTGGGACCTTTCTACGGACCCCCCCCGTGGTTTATGGGTCATCCGTCCTACCTTTCCACATGCCGTCACCCACTGGGACGTGGCAAGTTGCACGTTCTTCACCCACTGCCACCGCTCCGTTCGTAGCGTCCTCGTCGCTCCGTTCGTGTGCAGAGAGCGGCCTTGGCCTTGGCCGCTCCGTCGCCGTCCGCGAGCGTCACCGGATCCGTCGGATCCTCGAAGGGAGCGCCGTCAGGCTATGCCGACTTGATCGATGCGACGGATGAGAGTGGGAACACGGCGCTCATCTACGCCTCAGCCAAGGCGGGCGAGTGCGCGAGTGCCAGGGAGGGACCGAAGAGGGAGCGAAGGAAGGCGGAGGGTGGACGAGCTTCAGTCGCGCGCGCTCGAGTTTGAGTGGCGTTGCGTCAGCAGGAATCCGGGAAGAGATTAGACGGATCTCCACCAGGATGGTTTTGCCCGTTTTGAATGCTGGAGACGCAGAGTGGAGCCATTGGAGGATGAAAGGTGACGTTTGGTTTGATTCATTTGTTTCACCTTGTCATTTCTCACAGGCCATGTGCCCCAGACACAGGCCATGGGTCGGTCAACACTTGAACACAAACGACCGACTCAAGGCGGACCCCTGCATATGGATTTGTGATTGACAGTGTAGAAGAAGGAGACTCAATTATGTACATCGCCTGGGTCTTCATAAGTATGCATTTTTTCCGCCTTTTCAATCAAAATTGCTTTTTCAAACAAACGCCAACTATTTTGTACTGAAGCACTTTTTGCATTGACATGTTTTCGATGGTATGTCAAGGTTTTGAAACGGTGACTTTTCCCGACCAAAAGGCGACTTTCCCCGACCAAACGGCGAGTTTTGCTAACTGCTAGTTTGGCAACCTCTGTAAAACCATCGAAACGGCACTTTTGAAATGAAACGGCGTTTTTGACGGCAAACGACTGAAATTTGTGCTGTTTCGCCAAACGGCAGAAAAAACACACCCGTGGAAGGTCCCCATCCTTGGCAATTATGTATACCCGTTATGTATACCCACATAATGTATTCCAGTTGGATTTCATCCTTCTTTTTCTTAAATTATGTATACCCATCGAGTGGACCTTCCATCTCACACGCCTCCATACGCCTAGAGGACTTGAACAGATATTAACTTCACGTACCAACCTGACTTGGTGCATCTTGGTAAATGATGGTCTCGTTGTATCTGAAAGATGATCTTGTTCAAGCTGACATCACGGAATTCCAAGACGACTTGCACGACTTGCCGAATGTGTCTCGCTTCGCAGGCGAAAAGGCGACATCCTGACTGAAAGAGCATCAACGCTCCCCTTAGCTGGTGCATGATAGGGAAACCGTAGAAGAAAACACCATCAACATTGGATGAACACTCAGAGCTTCGCAGTCAGATCAGCTAGCCTCTCTGACCCTCTGACCCTCTCAACCCGGACCTGGATGCCCAGTCATGGGCACCACTCCAGGGCTTCCGCCAGTCCACCGCCGCGTTGCTGCGGAGCGGCGCCGATCCGGATGTGGCCAACCGGGGCCGGACGCCGCTGATGGAGGCGAGGATGAAGATGCACCGGGGGGTGGAATGAGAGGTGATGAGGTAATGAGGTGATGAGAGAGATGATGGGATGAGATGGGATGAAGATGGGATGAAGATGGCAATTTGATGCAATTTGTATGGATTTGTTCTACTCTTCCATGACTCCCGTTTCCCCCAAAAGGGCTAGTGGTTGATGTCAGGGTCGAAGTGCCGTGGTCCGGCGTCCAAGACCGAGAGGGATTTTGCGAAGAAGAACCGACCTCGGAACACCAATGCACCAAAAAGAGTCGTTTGGTTTGTTTTGTTGTATTTTGTTGTATTCTGTTCGGAACGTCAATGCACCAAGTTGTTTGTTTTATTTGCTTGTTGTATGTTGTTTTGGAATTGCAACATGATTTGAGGGACAACATGAGCCAAGGTCCTGGCATGTTCGCAGTCTATGCCGCTTTGGCGACAAGAGTTGCCCACTGGCTCCCCAGCCGTTCTGTACCGGGTCTTGAAAGTACGAGAACAGGCTCCGAAAGAGAGCCTCTCATCTTCCCGCATGGAGCTATTGCGGCCGTTGTAGACAATGATCAAAGCAGTTCACAGGAGAGGAGACCCTGAGAACTGTCACTATACGTGGACATCGGACCGCCGAACCAACCAGCCTCCCCCCGAACACGCCGAAACGCGGCCGACCTCCTCCGTCCCGGTCTCCTCCCGTGCCAGGCTGCGGGTGCAGGGCACAAAGACATCGTGGCGGCGCTGCGCTTGTCGAAAGCCAAAGTGGATGCTGTGGACGAGTACGGCAACACCGTGCCCCTGGCAACATGAAAACGGGCCGTTACGGCAGGGTGGGAACGGAGGGGTGTGAACAGGGTGGAACGGGATTTGCATGCAAGATGTATTTTGAACTGGAGGTCTAGGATGTAGCGGTCTGGGGTTAATAACGGTCTGGGATACCCAGCACCAGGTTTCGGTTTTTGGTTGACCAAATATCCCAATCCACCACTCCAGGCAGTGGATGGCTTTAGACGCGCACACGCGCGAAGTCGCTCCTCGGTGGATGGCATTGGGGGTTCGCAACGTCCCCAAGAGATGAAGGCGACGGAGACTTCACGTATCGATCATGTACCGTACATCCCATGGCCAGGAACAGTGGGATCTATCCGAAGGCGTTTTCTTCCCCAAAACTGCGATTCTTTTCTAAGCCGACTCCAAAAAACTGCGATACAAGTTTACTGGTCTCCAACCCCCAAAACCATCTCTGCGCGTCATTTGAATCGCCTCCCTCTCGCCCGTGTTGCCCGGTTTCGGCCGACGAACCGGCCGATTCGCCAGGCCTTGCACTACGCAGCCTACCATGGGCATCTGAGCTGCGTCACCGAGATCCTGAAGTCGAATCCACACAAGGCGGAGCGGTCGAAGGGTACCGGACCTGGCGGATCCGGGGGGTGAGTCACCGGAGAGAGCGAGGGCTACGAAGTGACTTATGGGCGAAAGGAGAAAGGAGGAGTGGTGTTGACTGTTACATGAATCAACCTTCTACATGGGGAGAGTATTGAGATGTATTGAGTCTTGATTGTAATGGACTGTTGATGAACAAAACCCCCATATAGAGAGGTGGAGAGGAGATTCCAAAGAGTATTGCATGTAGACTGTTGATGACTCAAAGCCCTCCTACCAGAAAGGTTTATTCATCAACAGTTTGCAGAACCTGTTTGTGCACGATGTGGTTGGAAGTAAGCGGTCTGATGCGCTCCGATGAGCGAATTTTCTCCATCTGCATCAAAAAGGTTTAGAGGGATATCGAAGAATTTCACCAAGTCAGTCATCTAAGAGTGACAGAGCATACACTCTCGAAGACTAACCTGGACCCTGAGAACCACTGGTTGGTAGAGGAAAACAATCTTCCAGGTGACCAGGACGTCAGGGTCTATGTTAGTTTTGCGGCAGTCATCCAGTTTAGACACTGGTCGAAGGCTTCAAGATTTTGACCAACTTGAGTCTATGCAGTTTATACGTGTTTTCACAGGATGTCCAGAATACTAGGATTGTGGTGGAGGAAGAAGCTCAGACCCACCGCAGCGGGAGCCCTCATGGTTTGTTTGGGACAGAGGACTCATCAAGACCAGATGAGTTGAACTTGTTTCCAAGTGAAGGAACTATCTGCCTGAGCATAGAAGCATAATAGAACATAGATGGTTCTTTTCATGATACAAGATATGACCCACAGGCCCCTTTTCGTAAGGGAGATGTTTTCGTGATACAAGATATCAAGGTATGTTGTCTACGAATGTGTTGTGTTGTCAGATAGGACTTGCCGTGCCACGTGCCACGCGCCACGCATTGCCGCTTCCTTGCAGGATCTCCAGAACAACTACGGGCACACGCCGGCAAGCTATGCTCAAAGCAACAAGTACAAGGTGCGCCGATTCTCGGTGCAACCCCAAGAAGACTCTGAGAAAGATCGAGGCACTTCACTTTTGACCCTACGAATCCCTGAAATGTACCTGAAATAGAATGCCTTGAGAGTTGTGCCGTTATTTGTTTTGGAAATTGCACAGGACACTCGGGAAAATTGACTTTTCGGGTTGTTTTTGTTGTGTATTGATCGTTGGTGCACCAGCATTTTTTGTTCTCAAGGATCGGTGCGTTTTATTTTTTTTTGCAAACTTGCTTTTATAGATCACTGATGTTCTGTCAAAATAACGCTACGGCCAAAGTTCAGGTTGCAAACCTGATACTCAGACTTGTTGAACCTGCACCGTTGTGTTCTTGTGGCTCAAATCCTTATAGAGGCTAAGCCACCACTAGGGTGTTATGCCCAAAGTCGGATGCTAAGGGTGGAGTGCTTGGTCCGTGGTCCGCGCTCCGTGCTCCGGGCTCCGCAGGCCATTGCAGACCTGTTGTCCCGCCCGCCGAAGCGGGAACCGCTGCTGAAGGCGCGGGCGCCGTTCGGTGGCTGACCGGTGCAAGTGTGGGGACCGGTGGAAGCGTCCGACCGGTGGTCACGCCACAAGGAGAAAAAGAAGCCGAAAGAGGAAGAAGAAGAGGACCTGGAGCAGTTTGCCTGTTTGAAAGGTGAGTCAGACAAACAGGGGCCAAGGTGTTTCCTCTTTCACGGCGGTCACCAACCAAAAAGCATATTTCAACTCAAAGTCTTTGATGCAGCCTTAGTCTCCAGCTTTCTCAGTCCCAGGCCACCAGTTGATCCATGCGTCGATGCTGCAAAAAGTCACGACCACCCAGGAACCGCAAAAGCCATCGATTAAATCAGCGCGTACGGTCCGAAAGAGGGCCGACAATGGAATCAGAGTCCAAGTGTGTTTGATAGATTCCATCCTCCTCCTCATCCTCATCATCAGCAGCAGCAGTAGCATCCAGATTGCAATTTGTGGAAGCTGGGATAGCTTCACTTCTCCCGGTAGACCTTGCAGTACATGGGATGTCCACCCTTTTCTTGATGACATGACCCATGGCCATAATGCTACGGGGGGAATCGATTTTGCAGATTTTTATTTGGCCTTTTACAGCCAATTCCCCGAACCATTGGGATGTGATGGGTCGTTTGTTGTGAGCGATGGTCATTGCAGTACCTAATTGGCGCCGTTTGGAGGCCTGTTGCTTCGACCAAACACATCGTCAATGTTTCGTTGCTGGATGTTGCTGGTGACCATTTTCCTCACACCGGAGGACGTGCTCAATCCGACCCTTTCTCCGTTAGGAGGATGAAGACCTCAAAGAACTGCACGATTTGATGGAGCTGGGGAAGAGCAAGCGAGCTCGGGTGGCCCGGGAACGGTTCGCTCCGGGACCTCGGAGTTGCGGTCGTTCTGTGTGGATTCTGAGTGGATGGGAACCTTGTTTGACAGACTTCGGAAAGGAGGGTTTTGGAACATAGTATTGGAATGTATTGGATCACTATTAATTCAATGTTTTGAACTGGCTAGAGAAGCGAGTTTGCTTCAGCGGATCAGGATTTTTCGAAGGCGGAACCAGGTTGAACTAGCTAAGCAAGGAGATTTGATGAACATCCTGAGAAGATCCTGAGACCTGAACTCAGTAGTGACTTGAGGTTTCAAAGGATTTTTTTCTATCTCTTTGGAGATCTCTACGCTTTCCCCAAACTCCCAAAGGCCTGGGCTAGCTTCCATCATCTTCCAACTCTGTTGGTCTGGAGCTTCTGCAAAAGGATGCCATGTAACAGATATTTTTGGTTGACACAGTTGACTCTTTACTGTAAATTTGAACAGGTCACGGTCACCTTTCTTCCTCTTGTGATGGCCAACTACTCTCTGAGTTGGTGGAACTTCCGCACCAGCGGAACTTCCAGCCAACTGCCGAGCTTTCTCCGCGCGTCCCCGGGGCCGTCGAAGTGGGTGTTTCCACGTGGCCAAGCGATGAGCAATGGCCACGCCCAGGCGGAGAAGCCCAAGGCCAAGCCCAAGCAGGCCTTTTTCAACGAAAAAGGAACAAACAGCGTCGGGCGAAACCGGAGAGAGACGAAGTTTATGAGTCACCCAGGGTGTACGAACCAACGATCCTTTTTGTCTTGGTGCGAGATTTAGACCCCTCAGTGAGACCTTGCGTTCCCTTCGGATGCCAAGTTTGTCTAGTTGTCAAGTTTTCCGTGGCTTTCCGCAGCTTTCCATCAGGTTTGGATACATTCACTGTCATCCACATTCCGACGTACAAGGAAAGGTTGTTTGGCTCTTTTGCTTTTCAGAATGGATTGGAGACGCGCCTGGTGGCCCTCCGGCGTTGCTTGCCGAGGTGAAAGGGAGTGCGGAAGACTTGCATCAAAAGGAGGAATCCTTCGTCGCTTTGGCACAGAAATGGCAGCAAAACACCCGAAAAGGCGAGATCAATCCTTTTGAGAGCGCGGTGGTTTCAAGGCGAGCGCGGTGGGTTGTTTTGTTTGCTTGGGGAAGAAATCAGATCATTTGATCCACATTTGATTATTTTTTGCTGCGAGGTCAGGGGATTCAGTAGATGGAAGCGGGGGCTGTAACTATCTGTGGAATCATATATGACTATATATATATATAGACCTTGTAAATGCAAGGCTTCGAAACTTTGTCTTCCCCTTGCCTTTCCCCACTCCTTTTGGCAGAGGGTAGGCCCTGCCAGTGAAACATGCATGTTCAACAAAAAAGTGACATAGTCTATAGCCTTGCTGGAATATGTTGGAATGCTGTAGATTTCGCTGCAGGGGTCTTCCAAAGAACCAATTAGAATTAGAACATTGTGTGTCTATTTGTAATCAACTTGCTCCCAGGAATTCATATTTGGCAAATGAGAACCACTTGACCCGCACCGCAGACCCCTTTCGAGATCAAAGAACCGCTCACATGGTAGCGGAGCCGGGATCGGGATTTGACTGACATCTCCCGTGAGCTCCAGAGCGGTAGGGACAGGACCCAGATCCCTTCTCGAAGCCCCTGTCTCGATCTGCGCCCGAGCCTTTTTCATAGAACTGGTGTTGCAGTTTGCTCGCCATCATTGCTAGTGATTACTTGGACCTGGTGATCGAAGCACCGTGCATTACATCTCTGCCTACATCCCTGAGTATAACAGGTTGATTGAGGATCACCTGACGGCCCTATCTCATCTTCATTAAGGACGCCCTTGGGAAGGAGAAGGGTGACAAATGGATGGTTCTGATCCTGGTTTGACTGGAGGAGCGGCAGCTGAGTTGACCCAGGCGTTGATCCAGGCAGCACAATCGGCTACCCAAGCCGCACAGGCAGCCGCCAGTGTGAATGTGGCTCAGGCCAATGGAGGAGGAGAAGGTTCGTCTTCAGGAAGCTTGAAACGCGATTTGGCCAAGCTCATCCCTAGACCAAGCAGTTTCAGTCCCCTCGATCGAGAGCAGGAGGTGGTACAGTGGAGAGACTGGTATTGGGGATTCAAGCAGTACCTCCTTGTGGTGGATGGAGCCTATCAGGAGGAGGTTGAGAGGATTGAGGAAAACCTCACAGCTGAGGTGGACTGGGATTTGCTGTCGGAGGCCGAACAACAGCGGGGACGCTTCCTATACAGTCTCCTGGGTGGCTTGGTGCAGGGCAGGCTGATGGGCCTGATTCGAAATGTTGATCATTTCAATGGCTATGAAGCTCTTCGTCAACTCTTGAGCAACTGCCAGCCGAATGCCAGGAACAGAACCATGAGCCTACTCCAAGGCATAATGGCCTACCCGAGCTTCAACATGCGGACCTCCTTGCTGCCTCAGATCTTGAAGTTAGAAGAGCACTACATCCAGTATGAGAAGTTTGGAGGCAAGCTCAGTCAGGACATGAAGGCCGCGATCTTGTTGCGCTCGGTTGGAGGTCAGATGAAGGTTCATTTGAATCTTGCCCTCAATGAAGGATCCACGTATTCACAAATTCGAGAGGCGATCATTGCCTTCGACAATGCAACTACGAAGTGGAATGAGTCAGCAGCATTGTCATTCACGAGCCCTATGCCTTCAGGCGCTGATCAGGGTCCTACACCAATGGAGGTGGATCGACTGCAGCAGAAGGGAAAAGACAAAGGCAAGTCCAAGGGCAAGGATCCGAAAGGTAAAGCCAAGGGCAAGCAGGACTTGCAAGGACAAGGGCAAAGGGAGGTCAGACTGGCTCGATCAGAATGATCCAGGAAAGCCCCAAGTCGTCGGTGGAGTACTACAGCATCGCCACTGATGACGAGGCAGATGAGGAGGATGACCCGTCGTATGTCATCAACACGATCCACCAGTATGACGACATGGATGTGGAAAGCCAGGGGCTTGAAGAGGAGAAGACGATCAATGTGATCCTGGACTCGGGAGCCGATGCCTCGTTGTTCCCAGGCAGTTTGATGGACAAGGGCATCCCCACGACTGGAGCATGCCCGTATCTTCAGGATGCACAGGGCACAAAGATCAAGACCTATGGCCACAGTGATGTGGACATCGTGATGCATGCCAAGGATGGGAGAGAAGTGATCATCAAGGAGAGGGTGACGTTCTCGGATGTGGTGAGCCAACCGATTCTCTCCTACGGACGCCTGTTGAGGACCGGATGGTCTATTGATGGTGGTACCCAATGCCTCAAGCACGATGAGATTGAGGTCCCTTTGGCGTTTCAGAATCAAAGCCTTGTGGTTCGAGCCCAGATCAGAGTGATCCACGAACCTGGCATGATTCGCACACTGAGGGTGAAGTTGAGCCAGGAGCTACAAGAGGCGGCGTTGGGGCAGTATGGATGGAAGAAGAAAGACCACTTCTGGCTTGGATTGCACTCAAGTCGCCATTGCCAAACCCCTCAGTTCGTGCCGGAGTTCAGGAACCAAAGTGAAGGCTTCTGCAGGTCAACTTTGGTGGAGCGCCGTGGACAATGGGAGCTGGTTGAGATGGCAGAGCCACTAGACGGCTTGTGGGAACAAGAAGAACCCATTGAGGAGCTCAAGGAAGAGGAGTTGGGAAGAGTGATCACCTTCATTGCCCAGGGTGGAACTGAGCCTGATACTTTTGGATTCGAGGTGATGGATGTCCACTTTCGGGCAGATCCTGGGAGCCTTGAGGAGTTGGCAGTACCGGAGGCTTTGAATGAAGAGGAGGTCGAAGGCATGGACATCCCTGGACGAGAAGGTCAAGAGGGAGTAGGCCTGGAAGATCAGGAGGCCCGACTGGAGGTGGGTGTTGCAGTTCCATCACAGATTCAGGTAAATGGAGTGGTATTGACTGTGGACAGCCCCCTTCGTAGTCTTCGGGCCGCATGTGCCTTCTACCGGATTGGACAGAGTGGAGGCAAACAGAAATGCTTCAGCTGATTGATGTCCCATCAACAACTGGAACTTCTCGGCTCGGGACCTGGCAGCTCAGGGCAGAGCAATGGACAAAAGGATCCCCTTGGAGCAGGTGTCGGCAAGGGAGCCTACCGTGGAGGAGAGGAAACAGCATGTGCTTACTCACCTTCCTTACGAAGCTTGGTGTACGGCATGCTTGAAACACCGAGCCCGCCAGGACCAGCACCGGAGAACTGGCAAAGCTCATGAGCAAGGATGCCCAACCATATCGTTCGACTTCTGCTACGTGAAGGCCTCAGGATCCGGAGCTTTTGGCGAAGAAGAGGAGGATGGAGCCCAGGCTGGGCTGGAGGTCGAACGTGGGGCACTGCTGATGGTAGCGGTATGCTCACAAACAGGGTACTTGCTAGCCCTGCCGGTGAAGTCGAAGAATCAGATGAGCCTCATCACTCACGAGCTGCTCGCCTTCACCCAGATCTTGGGACATGAGGAAGTGCAGTATTACAGCGACAATGAACCGACCTTGCGCCAGATCCTCAAACTCCTGGTGACCGCAAGATCATCAATGGGTCTGAAGACAACTATGAGGACAACGAAGATCTACGACTCAGCAGGCAATGGTCTGGTGGAAAATGCTATCCAGAGGATTCGGAGCTTGGCAGCCACATTGATGGAGAACCTGACCGAGCAGATTGAGCTTCGGTTCCAAAGCCAACATCCCATCTGGAGCTGGGCATGCAGGCATAGTGCATGGCTGATCAATCGCTTCCAGCCATTCCATGGCTCCACGAGCTTTGAACTGGCCCATGGTCGAGCATAAGAAGGAAAGCTATCCACCTTTGGATAGGCTGCTTTGCCTACTGCAAGCCCAAGCAAGGCTACAAAGCTGACCCAAAATGGATTTGGGCAAGACAGAGCTCCAGGACAACTGGGTGATTGGTGACGCCAATAGGGTCTACCTCAGTCGCTCGCTGAGGAGAATGTCAGGAGCAAGCAAGAAGAACTTGATGTGCTACAAAGGATTCACAGCTTACAGCTGGGAGTACCAACAAAATTTCGGGGGCCGGATCGTTCCTTCGAAGAGGATGGCATCGATGGTGGGTGCACCGATGAGTCGAGCTCTACCCCCTAGCAGTGGAGTTTCTCCAGATGATGTTGATGCCCAAGAGATTCTCGCCTTCGTGAAGTCCTACGCAGGTAAAAGAGAAGAAGCCAGGGAGCTGGTGGAAGATGAGCCCAATCAGGATGGAGAAGGGGAACGAGGCGAGAAGAAGAGTTTGGCAGAGCTGCAGGTGGCGGAGGACAAGAAGCACGACTTCATCGAGGAGGAGATCCCAGAGTTGGTGAAAGCGTCGAATCCTCTCACCATTGATGAAGGGAGGAACCAAGCAGGACCATCAGATCCTCGTCCAAAGCCACAGGTAGCCCTATCAACACCGAGGAGTATGGCATCAAAGACTGGGATGGTGGAGCAGGAGAACTCGGAGGTGAAGAAGATGAAGATGACAGTGGAAAAGACAACCCATGCACTCGATGCAGCAACGCCAGAGCCGAAGAGGTCAAGGCAAGAAGAGAACACCCATATGGAAAGAAGGGTTGAAGTTACTCAGGTTGGAGCAGACTCCTTCTACCACATGGACGACATCATCGGGCAGGAGGAGATGGATGTATGGAGTCAGGAGAATGAGGAGCAGGAGGAGCACCCATTGGAGATTCCAGATGCTCTATGGTCAGACTCACCTTTGGATCGTGTGCCGCCAGATCCGCCGAAATGGATTGATGATTTGGCCGATGAAGTAGAGGAGAAGAGGCTGGAGAAGCTTGGAGTACTGGTCCCAATGGAGAAGAGGTTGGAAGGCTACAAGACCCTCACCACAAGGTTCGTGCGAGATTGGAGGGCCAAGCCGAGGACAAAGGAGCCAGGGGCACCAAAGCAGTTCCTCAGGCGGTCACGGCTAGTCGCTCGAGAGTATGCCACCGATCGACGTGATGATGTGCACAGTCCAGCAACAGGTGGACAGGCGTTGAGGCTACTCCCAGCGATCTACCTCATGAAGAAGGCCGAGGAAGAACATGGTGGAGCAAAGTACACTTTGGGAGCCCTGGACATCAAAGATGCTTTCCTCCAGGTGCCGCAGGCAGTCCCTACTCAGGTCAGCACTGCAAGTGGGCACTTTGAAGTCAAAAAGAACTTGCCCGGCCAAAGGATTGGTGCTAAGGCGTGGTTTGAGCACCTGACGAATTGGATGAAGGCCAGGGAATTCAGCTTCTCAGAGATCAACCCTTGCATTGGACGCCTTGGCCAGAAGATGATGCTCCTCATTCATGTCGATGATGTGATGTTTGTTGGGGAGCAGGAGTATGTGACCGAGCAGTTCATCCCGGACCTCAAGCAGAGCTTTGAGATTTCAGAGCAGCACCTAGTGGGAGAGGGCAGCTCATTCCAGTTCCTGCGGAGGACCTATGTGGAAGTGGAGAACGGATTGAAGGTGATGCCTGGAAAATATGCTGAGAGCATGATTGAGATGTACGAGGAGAAGATGGGCAAGGTGAAGGTTCAAAAACTTCCGTGTGGTCCTGAGGTCCTGGAAGCAGATGGTTCGGTGGAACTCAAGGCTGAGCTAGCTGGTCTCTATCGCTCATTAGTGGGATGCGGAATATACCTTTCTCAGGAGAGACCAGATGTCTCGTACACCATCAAGGAGTTAGCGTCCACTATGTCCTTCCCCACTACGAGCAGTTTGAGGAAGTTGGGAAAGCTCATCGGTTATTTGAAGGGAACCATTGGCCAGCATAGCATCCTCGAGATGGGAGAGCCAGGACAAGGATTGGTGGGCCACACGATGGAGTCAAGATGGATCCTCGAGACCTTCAGCGACAGTGACTGGTCTGGTTCAAAGAGTCACCGACGATCGACTTCAGCGGCTATTCATATGCTGAATGGAGTGGTGATTTTTACGAGTTCCAGAGGACAGAAGAGTGTGGCACTATCCTCCGCTGAGGCAGAGCTGAACGCATTGGTGAGCTCAGCAGCTGATGGGATCTACCTCAAGCGGTGCTTGGAGTTCCTAGTAGAGGAGGAAGTGGTGCACGAGTGCCTGGTTGATAACTCGGCAGCCCTACATCTTTGCCATCGACGAGGCCCAGGAAAGTTGCGCCACATAGCAGGCAAGCTGTTGTGGATCCAGGATCTCGTGGCGCAGGAGGAGCTTCGAGTGAAACCAGTGGGAACTATCCGCAACGTGGCGGACTTGGGCACGAAACCACTTTCACGGACTCGCATCATGTTGATCCTGTATTGGTGCAACACCCGAAGCGGAGATGATGAGAAGATTGGTGAGGAGGAGTACATCAAGATGGAAGAGAGCCGCGTAAGCCGGGTGAAGATTCAGAAGCTTGCCAAGCTGTTGAACAGGATCCTACTTGTTGGGGGTCTTGAGCAGGCCACTGCATCAAGGACCGAGGGTCATGAGGAAAAGGTGGAACAGAGCAGCAACATCATGATGGTGATCCTGGTGGTGATGACGCTGATGGTGGCGGCATTGGCATGGGTGGTATATAAGCTGTGGGGCATCATTGAGGAGTTGAAGACGAAGATAGCTGATGCCAAAGACAGCGCCTATGTCAATGGAGTGTCAACGAGGGCCTACGTGCAAGGCATGCGAGAAGAGTTGAAGGAGCTGAAGAAGTACAGCCAGAAGATCCATCGAGGCTTGATCAAGGCCTCGGGATTCGTTGACTCAGAGGAGGTGAAGGATGAAGAGTGGAAGCACTGGAGCTACACTGAGGACTCCAACAAGGACTTCGACCTGCGGCGAATCTATGCCCAGATCGAGGCGTACAAGAAGGAGTGTGCGCGTGATGATGGGCCAATCGACCTAAGGCCCTATCGAGATGGAGAGGACGTAGAGATGCAGGAAGAGACTGAGGAAGAGACGGTGACAGTGCGCTTGGACAATGGAGAGATTGTGGAGATTCCCTTGCGCTTCGTGGAGGCGCGGGAACCCGAGAGTGAAGATGAAGTACCAGGACGGGAAGCGGAAGTGAGTGAGGCACCCCAAGAGCAGGAGTGGGCGGACGAAGATCTGCCTACGCCAGAGGTCAAAGACCCATCCATCAATCAGGCTACAAAGGCCTGGCTCACTCGAGAGGAACTTCTTGAGTTGAGAAACTTTGATACGGCATGTGCAAGGTCAGGGCTTCGAGCAAAGCAGCACATTCTAAAGCTGCAGGATGCATGGCAGAAAGCTGACCGTGAAGGGGATCACGAACGTAAGTTGGAGATATACGCCATGATGGATAAACACTACCCCTTCATGGACAGCGAGGATCTGCCTTTCTAGGAATGAAGTTGGACACCAAGCAAGCTGAGAGCTCAGTGTCCAAAGGAGGAGTGGCAAATGAGAACCACTTGACCCGCACCGCAGACCCCTTTCGAGATCAAAGGACCGCTCACAATATTCTGGTCTTTATCCACTCCAGGATTGTTGCAGTTTCTAGTGTCGATCGACAACAGGGGCTTCAGAAGACCCAAACTGAGTCACAATCACAAGTTCTTTTCCCCACAAGAATCACAAAAGATTTCAGAAGTGATATAATTTCATGAGATTCCAGATATGCATTCATTCCAGACATTCGTCTGAATGAACGTTACTATCCATACATTCTTTCACACAGAAGCTGATCCCGCTTTTCACACCGAATTCGGAAGTTCGAACGGACGCGCGGGAAGGGAACAGAAGGGAACACACGCGCGGAACGGCGGCCTGAATCCATCCAAGGCGCCCAAAGTGGAGAAGGACACTGGTGGTGAGCTGAGCGCCAAAGAGAAGCACCTCGGCCTTTTCGTTCATCGACTCGAATCGAGCCCGAATCGACCTGAAAGAAGAAGTTCTCAAGAGGAAGATCTTGTGGAAAGCTGGTTCTTTCACACTTTGACCTTGGCCATGGGCACATGTTCATGTCCAGTTCCCTTCTTCTTTCCTCGCTCGGCCGTTTTTCCGGCGCCAAGGAAGTCGCTTGAGGAGTGGACCAGTGGAGTGACCATGTCTCGAGTTCCAGCAGAGAAACCTGACCAGATTTGGTCCATCTCCTAGACCTAGATACTTCATGTGTTTGCCGAGAGGTAGAAAGGTTTTTCAACTAATGGGTTCAGTAAGTGTGCCAACAAGAGCCAACCAAGACATATATTTATGAGAGGGGAGTGCCGTGAGCGGTGCATTTTTCGATGAACATGATGATTTGTGTACATATTTTTATGGATTTTCTTGAACAATTGATGTGTCTGATATGTCTGTCCGCATCTGTTTCTGTCTGTAGCATCTGTCTCACAGCCTCGTGTAGTAACATCTGCTTCCGTAGATACGCCATCTGAAGACATGACCTACGACGACTTATATATAACTAACTCTTTATATATATATATATATACACACTGTATGTACCATATATGAAGACCACTTCGCACACTCTGTCAGCAACGAAGTCTCCCGACAGCATCTGTCTCCTGACCGCAGGAGCAGATCGCCAAGATGCAACGGCGGCATGAGGATGCCGAGCTGAAGGTTCGGCTGAACTGGTGTGTGTGTGGTCGGTCGCTGTGTGGCTGGGACTTCGGAAAGGCAGAATGACTCAGGGAATCCACCCCCCTCAAAGGGCCCTCCACTTCTCCCCAAACTTGCGTCCCACAGGGAGGAAGCTTTTTGGGCACCTCCACTTCTGTTCCAGGGGTGCCACCCTGGGTTCACCGGGTCACGGTGCTCTTCCACGCCAGAACCAGAAGCGCATCGTAGAGCTCTTGGAAGCCAGTCAGGGATGCCCAGAAGAGACGTGGACCAGGTTGACAGGCAAAGAATCAAAGGGATTGTTTAGATGCCCAAACACATCAATCAAGACCATTGACAACCCCCAACTACCAGAACAGCTTTTCATCTCCACCTATGGGGGTTTAGCAATCAACAGTCTACAGTCTACATGATTATATACTCTTGTTGGCATGAAGAAATGCCTTCATCCTGAGAACGTGCAGCCCAATGATCAGAGTCTTTGTGGGGACCACCCATTCGGTGATCTCTTGATCTATCCGGGCGGAGAGAGGGAAGCGAGAGAGAGGCACATAGTTTTGACATGGAAGCATATTCGATCCAGAGGTCGGGATTGTTGGAGACGTTGGTTTGCCGCTAGGATGGGCCTAGCAGATACAGTGATGGTGTTGCTTCTTTGATGTAAAGTTGATTTAAGGATCGCTTCACAGAAGTCCTTTTCTGGTAGGCCAGAAGTGTGCCATCCTTGTCTCTTGAGCAACTGGTGTTGGTGGAAGACCTTCATGTTGGGAAGAATGTCAAGCATTTTCCCACAATATTGACAATAGTGCAGGCAGCTGAATGCCGGCATTATGGAAATACCCTTCCATCTTTCACCATGATTCTCAAGTTTGTTTGGATCGTTGTATCCTGAACTCCTACTGCTCAACACATGTGTTTTTGGCAACATATACATATATACACCCATCTTGGATTGAATAGAATATAAACCAATCCAAAGAACATGACCAGTCTCCCACTACTCCAGGATGACTGTATGCATGTTTGGATCAGACTGGAGAAGCGCAGCGCGGTTATGTGACCCAAGGTGCCGGGCATCAGCAAAGCCTGGACGAAGCAGAGCGAGCGGTCAGGGGGTACCAGCTACTCGATTGCAGGTTGGTGAGTGGATGATTTTCAACCACTGGAGCTTTGAGATGGAGCCGGACCATGACATATTTTTGCTTTGCTCAACCACTGGGATTGGTCCCCAAAAGACGCCAGGAGCTTAGAGATTTCCATCAGTACTTGGACATTCACGCCCAACATATGGCCACGTCAACTGCAGCCGGTCGATCTCGGCTGGCATATTTCCTCCAAGCTGGTCGGCAAGTGACGGAAAGCAAAACAGCAGGTACTTCACCACCAAACCATGAAGCACCCTCCGAAGTTGAGAATCATTCATCATGTGAGTGATCAGTTGGAGCACCGAAACCCAATGGAGTTTTGACCGAATCGTTGATTTGAGGGCCAACCTGTCGGAGCTCTCCCTCAAGGTTCAGGCGGGACCGCGCTTTCTCGCCTCATGTGAGACAGAAGCAGGTGAGAGATGGGGACAGATGGAGCAAGAAGCTTTGACAAGTTGGTGGATTCAGGTGTTCTTCCAAATTTGTGCAGTTGCTGCGGAGTATATAGATGGCCAGACTCCCCAAAGGTGTATCGGATGGATTCTCAATTGAACTGGATCAGAAGAGGTGGAGGTGATTCGGAGATCCAAGCTCTTGTGTGACAAATCCCTCTCATCATTCCCGGGACTTTCACCTTGGCATTTGACAGCAAACAACAGAAACCAAATACCACAAACAGTCTTCAAGCACAAAAAACAACTTTAGGAGTCTTCTCTGAGTTGATTTGTAACCTTCTTCTGGTTCCATCTTTTGTTCTGATTGCTTGGGTGGCTGGACTGATCGCTGGCCGACTGGCAGGGCGAAACCCTAAACCGCCACGTCGAACCGCCTCACGGTGCAGGAGTTGGAGCTGAAGCATCGCAGCAGCGAACTGCGTGTTTGGGACCTGGTCTGTTGCTCCTCAGGAGGACTGACAGGGGGACCGACGAGGTGTCTGTGTGATCGCAGCGATGGTCATTGAAGGAGGGCGGTTTTCTTGGAGATTCATGTTGAATAGATGAGCAACAGCACAAAGATGAACCCAGGGCAATGACAGAATCAATTTAAACCAGAGAGCCATCAAACATGCAACAGCCATTTTGCTCCAAACCTCCGTGGGCAGCCCGAACGTGTCCCAATCAGAGCCCATGAAAAACGCCGACGACGACTGAACCATGCAACATCCAGAAAGTCACATCAGTAGACCCGTTAAAGACATGGGTTGACCACCTAAGCAATCCAAAACGAATCGATTTTAGACGTTTTTTTCTCCAAGGCAGCGGAGCAGAAAGATCGCGCAGCTCGGGGTCCCCGGCTCCCACAGCTGTGGAAGATGAGGAGTTACATACAGTTACATGTGCTTCTTTTTTTCTTGCTGGTTTGAACATGTTTGAACCTGGAAATGCATTTGGAGGCTTTTGGTGCTTCAACTTTTGCATTGCCATGGTGTGGCCGTAGACGATTTGATGTTTCCTTTCTTGCTGTGGGGGCGCGGGTGAAAGATATGAAAGGCCAACGAAAGTCCCCAAAACTAAACCATGTGTAAGAAAGGTTGGTCTTGATGAGGGGTCAACAACTGATCTGACTGTTTTCACAGATCTGGATGCGATTCTATTTCCAACATGTGTCAAGGCTCATGCACACTATTTACTGTACATGCATTTACAGTTCATTGGGTTTCCATACACCAAAAGATCAGCATGAATATAGTTGCCATAAAAGTTGATGAACATGAAGACAATATGCTTGCGATGCTGTTTATTTGGCCTATCTTCAGTGACATCATGGGGTGCATTTGTGCCAGGCGCAGACAGGGAACTTTTGAGCTGGGGAGAAGAACCACTTCAGGGCATCTAATACTTTGTGTGGAAGCTGAGGAGCGCTTGCAACTTGATATGCAAGACGCTGAGCTGGAGGCAACTTGCAAGAGTGGAATTCCCAACACTCAATTGGAACTGTTTGTCTTGGGTCGTTTGAGTATGTTTTCTTGATTTCTAGACATGTGATGACACGGTTGAAAGGATGTGCTACCCCGCAAATCACCTGCCGTAGTGTTCGAAATCAGTAGGTTGCAAGTTGCACAGCCTGCTGCCCTACCTATCTAATCATCTAATATCTCATTTGCTTTGTGGATTTGTATGACTTGAACCACTCACTTGGTGCTTCTTCGCTCCAATCCTCCGCGCGCGCGGCAACCCGCTGCCGATCCTCTGCGACAGGTGAAGCGCTACCAACAACGTGCCCAGGCAGCGGAGAAGGAGCGCGACCTGCATGCAGAGGTGGGGAAAAGATGCGATGCGAAGATATGGAAAAACCCCACGCCCACATGGAAGACATGGACAACTGCGTGGAAGACATGGAAGACATGGATAAAGAATCACACATTTTGCATGGAAGACATGGATAAAGAAGACATGGAAAGACTATCAAAGAATCACAACTTTAGAACAGGTCGCCCAACGCGCCCAACGCAGGCAGCTTTGCTACGACTTGTTTTACCTTGGAAAGAAGATCGAATCGACATGGGCAGCTGCCAGTTCGTTTGTTCGTCGTTCCCGGTGCTTGGCCGCCCCACCCGGTGTCCGCGTCGTTCCAGGTGGCGAAGCGTCACGAGGAGCGGAGCCGCGGAGCGGAGCTGGGTCCATTGGGGGGAAGAAGCTCTTGGGTGGGTACCATGTGGGTACCATGTAACACCTTCAAACACACTAAGTCTTTATGAGCCTAGGGCCTAAGGGGTGTTATACCCTTTTCCAACTTTTATTTGAGTCTTTACGAAGCCGAAGAAAGTGTTTTTGAAGGTTTGGTATTGTCATGTAAGTTTGTGGGTCAAAATATAAGATTTCTCACTCCTTGCAACCGGAACAAGTGCGGCAACTCCAATAGGTTTGGCTGAGAGCTTTGGTTGAGTCGCCGAGTCGCAAAGAGATAGGCTGGTAGGTTGGCCCAATGGAGGAGACCATCCCATGTCACCAACTCAGAGACCTCATGTGTTTTGCTACCAGGGTTAGAACAGATCATGCCCATTATGACCTCCTCAAAGATGGGTTTTCGATGTCCCATTCCTTCGTTCGCGTTTGACTGCCGACAGATTCTTGCTCACCGGTTCCAACGACTTGAAGGTCTCCAACTGGCCTGCCCAGACTCCAACTGGCCCAGATATTTGGAAGCAACCGCCAGTGGGACATGATCTGGTTGTCATGAGATGTGGGACATGAAGGGCTCTGATGTTTGGAATGTGACTTGATCCAAGATCAACTGGCCATGTATCTGGAAAGATCCTGCACGGCAGTTTTCAAGGGGCACGGGGGGCCCAAAGAACTGGCGGACGAGAGGGTGGGTCCCTCTTCATTCGCCCGGTGAGACACAGTCCCTGGCATCGAGGATCTCCCGAAAACCTATGGTCAATCGCACTTGGTGTACGGGATTCCTCCGTGTTTTTTCTATGCAGGAGAGCTTGAAGCATCAAAGAGAGGAGGTGAGCACCCGTGGACTCAGATGCAGGAAATACAGTGACCTAACCAACTCGATGCAACATAACATGCCGGGTAAGTTGGCTTTCAGGGTCCTGATCACCTTTGTACCGTACATATTACTGTAATACATCAGGTGAATGCTTTGAATGCTTTTGATGGCTAGATCGACTAGAAGGAGGATTGTGAGGGAACTTGAAATCTGTTCGCAGATGGACTTGTTTGTTCAGCCGAGTGGACATCGAAAGAACGCAATGACGGTTGACGGTGGATTACCAGGAACGCCATGAGGGAGATGCCCTGAGATCGTCCGTGTGTTGCGGCCCTATCCTGATCCCCACTTTGCCATGCAGATTGGTGGAGACTTTTCGCCCTTCCTGATGAACTGGCGACCATCTCGCCGATAGGGATTGATAGGATCCGTTTGAAAACTCTTCTTACCATTATTACGATTGCCATCCATTGCCATTCTCCTCCAGGCTTGGAACCATGAATGCTTGTTAAGGTCTTCCATCAGATACCTCGCTCTGTTGACTGAGAGACTGCAGAAGCTGACGTCCATGTTCCCTCTGCTCAGCTGACCCTCAATCCTCCTTCGTGGTTCACAGGTGAACGAGCACCTGCAGCAGTTGGAGAAGCAGCAGCAGGATGTTGATGTGAAAACGGGTTGGCAAAAGGAAGCGGCTTGTTGATGAACATATGAGGTGCGCTTTGAGCACTTAAGGTCGGCTTGATATTTGCAGCGAGCTATCAACTTCTGTGTCTGGTTCAACAGAGGTAAAGATTGCCTTTTAATTTGGCTTTCTCATTCAGGTGTCATTAGACCATCAACAAGCACTGGACAGCACTGGACATGATGCCACTTTCTGCTTTGCTTCCATGTTCGTTTCATCCAAAACAAAACAAATAACATCAAATAACACCATAGCATCACAAAGACTGTGCACCACAATGCGCATAGTTCCCTTCATAGCCCCACCATATGGCCGATCTGATGTCCAGCCATGGTAGCGGACGCCGAAAGCACGGAAGTGATCGAGCTACAGGTGGTGGGCTTGGATGGTGAAGGCTTTACATTGCCCCTGGCCTGCAGATGGGGCTTTAGCACTTGTTGGACGGTGCTGCCTCTCACAATCCGGACACGCGCGAATGCACACACACGCCATGGGAGGTTGGTGTGTTCATTCCTATGGAAAATGTGGATGTGGATCTAAACCCAGCGGGTAGTGACTCACAAAATAGAAGCAGAGATCCCACAGCTGTGCTAGGAGACTCCCTCACAGGAGACTTCCTCCAAGAGAAGAGCAACTCTGTCGAGGTATGTGACCTGACTTTTGAACCCTTCACTCCCTCCACTCGCATGTTTTCCCAGGCGAATTCCAGACTCCAAAAGCGGCGAGGACCTCCGCGCGCTGGTCGCGCGACGACTTGTGGCGAAGGCGGGCGCCCAGCTGGTTCTCTTGAATGGACCAGAGTGACTCGGCGATCACCGATGTTTCCGCAGACACAAAGAAAGGCCTTGGCGCGACCAGCGGCAGATCCACTCACTCGTTGGACTCCTTTTTGTGTGTAAGGGTCCAATGAGGGTGTTCTTGTGTGTAAGAGTCCAACCTTGCAACTCAGCACAACGACAAAGCACTTCATATCGTTTGTGGTCAAGCATTTGCAATACCACCAGGTAATTAGACAGATTTCCCTGCTACTCCCCGGAATCCGAGAACTCTTCACCCTGGAAGCAGAATCTCATGCTGTTCCAAGGCAACTCTCAAAGTCTCAGAGCTTGAAGGACCAGGGCCTTTGCTGTGGCAAAACAGTGTCCTACAGCTATGTGCCTCGGACCTGCCAAGTGAGTCAGCTTGAGCTAGCAGAACTTTTTCTCACTTGAGCTGGCCAATTAGATGAAGCTGACTGTTCAAGGAGATGTGTTCAACCTGGGTGCCGAAGTTTCGCATGCTGACAGTTCTCCCCAAACGTTCCAAAGTTCGATTCAGACGGTTCAGAGCCTCGGTCGCTTGATGCGACCGTGCCTTGCTTTTTAAAGTCAAACTGAACAGGAGCAGTGGCCAAAGTAAAACACGAAAGCAACATGAGCAGCGACCAAAAATTCAAGCCCTTAAGCTCCACTATTCGCTATAGTGCCCAAGTCCTCTCTTTTCCTCTTCTGTCTGCCTTAGGCTTCTGCCCGCGACCAGCATGCATTTCATTGCGACGAGTGCCCAAATCCCTTAAACGAACCAATTCCCAGGTGCCTACGAACCTCGCCAGGGCCCTCACGCGCTCCCGCCTGGCCTCGCCACCAGCGAACTCGGCGAGTTCCTCGCAGTTCGACGATGCCTGGGATGGGCTGACCGAGCTCCAAGGATCCTTGGCGGAGATCCTCGTGGAATCCGATCCCGTGTAGGGTTCCCTCTCGGATTTCCTTGGGCAGGTGGCATTTGATCCGGATCCTCGCAGAATCCGAGATGGATTCTATCCCACAGATGCCCAGTCCATGACCGGGTTTGGGGGAGGATTGTCGGGCGTGAGGGGGGAGGGATGGTTGGCCAAGAAAGATGTAAGGTGAGAACAGTTGATGTGACTTTCGAAGCCGGGTTGCCATTTATATATATATATATATTTATGTTGAACATAATTTCTCAAGAACATTTGAGAACCGGCTTGGGTGAGAAGACTTGGTCGCTATTTACTTTTCTCAAGCCAGTTCGGGGAACATGTCGAGAACTGGATTGGTATTCTTTTGTTGCGGCGTCGCGGCGTTGAGGCGTTGCTGGGCAGATGGCAACGAGCTTGCCCGGCAGTTTGGTGTGCTTGACTTTGGGCAGCTTACTTGGGCGGATCGGACAAGAAGTTTTTTTCCTTTCTAGAATTCGCGCACGTCCACGTACAACACTTGTAGGGGCTTGGAAAGGGCTGACTCGGCCAACCCTTTCCAGGGGCTGACGGTATCCGAAGCTTCGTGTGGCGCTCATGTTGAAATGACAGGTGTCGTTTTGGTCTTTCATGTGGAACAACAAGTTTCAACATGTTGGTTTGGTAGAGTTTGCGCATTTTGCACATCCACCAGAGGCAATGATTTCAATGAGAGTTTGGAGGGAATGGAGTGGCCTGAGACTCTTCAACATGTGAGCTTTGGCAGAGCCTTTGACCAGACTTTGGAGCGAGTGGCCTGGCCGAATCTACGCAGCCTGAACTTTGGCAACTCCTTTAACCAGTCTTTGGAGGGCGTGACTTTACCAAGAAGCCTCCTAGACTTGACCTTTGGCATGAAGTTCAACCAGACCTTAGCGGGTGTGAACTTACCACTGGGGCTGCAGCGTTTGACTTTTGGCATTTTGTTCAACAGGAGCATGGACAAGGTGAATCTACCCTCCGGTCTGCAGACGCTGGTTTTTAGCATCGACTTTAATCAGAGTTTGGAGCAAACCAAACTTCCAGCCAGTTTTCTGGAGTCGTTTTCAACACATGTTTGTTGTTTCCTTTAGGACCCCGAGATACCTTGATGGTGTGCAGAAGATTTGTTTTTTATCCGAGATACCTTATGCCATGCTGATCCAAGGCCTCCAATGCTTGATATTTGGGATTCAATTTAATCAGAGCTTGGAACATGTTGAGCTGCCCAGTGGCTTGCAACGATTGTGTTTGGGCGATGCGTTCAATCAAAGCTTGCAACGAGTCAACTTGCCAAAGAACCTCACATCATTGGTGTTTGGTACGAATTTCAATCAAACATTGACCGGAGTGAGTTGGCCAAGCAGCCTGCGTACTTTGACCTTTGGCCATGACTTCGAACTGGACTTGATCGAGTTGGATTGGCCAAAGGGCCTGGAAAGCTTAACTCTTGGCAGTGTCTCGCCCAGATTCTTCGACTGTCAATGGCCCCAAAGCTTGAAAAGCCTCAGCTTCGTGGGGTATTTCGACCCGCGAAACCACTTGAAACTCCCCTGCGGCCTCGAAAGCTTGACGTTGGATGGATCTTTTGATGGAAAGCTGGAGGACATTCAGTGGCCCAGCGGATTGCAGACATTAACTTTGGGCGATGCCTTTAATCAGAGCTTGGCCAAGGCACGATGGCCCAACGGACTGAAGAGCTTGACTTTGGGCCTTTCCTTTAATCAGAGCTTGGAGGAGGTACGGTGGCCGGAGAGCCTGCAGAGCCTCACTTTTGAACATGACTTCAACCAAAGTTTGGCCAATGTCGAATTTCCAAGCCGCTTGGAAAGCTTGACATTCAGCGAGAGTTTCAATCAGAGTTTGGTGGGAGTTTCTTTTCCACAGAGCCTCAGGAGCTTAACATTTGGAACGAGCTTCAACCACAGCTTGGAAGGACTTTGCTTGCCTGAGGGTCTCCAAAGCTTGACATTTGGCACGAATTTCAATCAAAGCTTGGACAATGTCACTTGGCCTCCAAGCCTTCAAATGCTCATTCTTGGATTCAGCTTCAACCAGAGCTTGGAAAGAATCACTTGGCCAAGTTGCTTGGAAATTTTGACCTTTGGATATGACTTCGACCAGAGCTTGGATCAGGTCACTTTGCCCAACAGCCTTCGATGCCTGACTTTTGACCATGATTTCGACCAGAGCTTGGAGCAAGTGAATCTGCCAAGCAATCTTGAAAGCCTAACGCTGAGTGCGAGATATAAGCACAGCTTGCTCCAAGTGTCGTTGCCCAGCAGCCTTCACAGCCTCACTTGCGGGCAGCTGACGGTGTCGACGAGGACCAATTAAAAAAGCGGACGCAAGGGCTGGATCCATTGGTGCCGCAGAGTACATTTGGATGCAGCTCAGTGAGTGCCCGCAGAGTAGCGGAAGCAGACCGAATATCCAACGAGACCAATTTTCACTACCAGCCAGTGGATCACTTGGATGCGGCTTTCCGATGCTTTCTGAGACACTCATTTGCGGAGCTGCAGCTGCGGTATGCTCTTGCATGAGCTATGAGGTCAGTTTGTCAACTGCAATTGCAAGTGTACTGTATCTGTTTTAATTAGAGCAAATGCTTAGAAACAGAAACCAAAAACTCCTTTTGTAGACATTTGGTTCTTTTCTCAGTATTCTTGCCAATCCATCCAATTGGATGGGATGGTCTTTTAACATCCCCATACCGCACCCAGCATGTTCTCACCTACTGCAACTTGGTCGGTATTCCGGGAAAAGGCTCGTGGACTGTCCACTATCCAGTGTTGTCATGAAAGAAAGCACATGCCAGTTCTGACAACCAATTTCATCAATACCAAACATCCATTCTGTCTTTGTTTCAGGTGTTCACCAAGTTTTAACCTGGCCATGGCTGGTCGGTATTCATCCAGCGGAGATTCCATCAAAACCTCATAATTGCGGTTCACCAAAAATCGATTGTAAATCTTTTTTTTGGCTCAGAGCAACCCTTGGGTAATGGGATAGAAGTCCTCTCCGCATACAAAGAGGAAGAAAACGGATAACGATAAGTAGAAGTACAAGTAGCATTATAGCATCATAGTGCATCATGCATAGCATAAGGCATCATAATCATATAGAAATAACATATATCATACATCATACTTCATATATTATTCATGTGCATTAAATGCACTATAATCTACGATAAGTTTTATCTCTTTAGATATTCATCTACACCGGTGGTTGTAACCCTTCAGGTCACAATTGGTTCAATGCGATCGCGACATCGCGACATCGTGTCTTGCATTTAAAACATGTCAAGCGTTGTTTGTTTGAGTTGAGTGTTTGAACAGATTGGGATGTGCGAAAGATGTGAGGTCTTCATGTCAGATCCCGCTTTTGATCGGATCATCGGATTGAGAGGATTCGCTCGTAGGAGATGTCCTCCCTCCTCAGCGATGTGCGCAAGCAATCGGAGGCGTGCTTGGTCGGGACCTGGGTGATTTGGTGTGAAGTTTTTGGAGCAACTTCATCACTCAGGGCATCTACAGTGAATCTACAGTAGAATGGGTATTTCAATGTGCACTCTTGAGAATCATTCTTTTGGAGGAACCTACTCCCGAAGCAGAGTGCACCTTGGGGTCACCTTTCGCAACCCCAAGAAGAGATTCAATAGATTCAATGCTTCACATGAAGTCTTCCAGTCTTTTTACAACAAACAGGAACAGAACAAACAGGTTGAAGAAGTCTGTTCTGTTAGTGGCCTCTGTGAAGTCTTTAAAACATGTTTTTGAACAAACAGGAACGATTGGACGAACTCACATGGCCCAAGCACAGAAGACTGGTGGTCGCCGGACTGGTCTCCGGTCACCAACGAGCCGACGATTTCCAGAACTCTTTGGGCTTCCCATAGAACTCTCTGGAAACCAGAGAAGCCCGCAGTACTCGATTCGAGCGGCGTTTCACATGGGCACCTGGGTACGCTTGGGGTCGATGACATGTGCGGCCTGTTGCGGCCGCACGGCTTGGCAAGACGGATGCGGCCTGGCTTCGTTGTTGAACGATCCGCAAGAGGATCCCCATAGATCCCCCCCAAATGGCCCATGTGTGATCAGGATCATCGTCGTTGGCGGGCAAGCCTACGCAACTTCATATTCCTATGCAACTAAGTCGCATCCTGTGCTGTGAGTGATATCTATTTCTAACCTCCTACGCCACGAAGTCGCATCCTAAGTCGCATCCCACCTAAGCTAGTATACGTGATATCTATAAAAAGCTACAGTAACATCCTAGTAATATCCTACTAAGCTGATCAAGTCGCATTCCTTTGTTTTGGGTTGACGCACCGGTCACCTATCATTCGCTAACCGGCGTCTCCCGGATCCACCCGTGGTCGTCTCGCGGATCGGCGGCTCTCAGACCCTGCAGAAGCACCGTCAGAGGGCCACTGAGCCGGGGGAGCCAAGAGAGAGAGAGAGAGAGAGAGAACCTCCGGGCCTTGGGCTGCGGGCTCCACCATGGAACCGGCGACTACTTGAAGTACCGCGATAAGTAGTATGAAGTAGTGAAGAACATGGCGTACACATGAAGATGGGGTTTTGAAGCTTGTGTGTTTCCCCCTCTGTGACGTAGGAGGATTTCTCGTTCCGCTCGACACTCCGGCGAATCGACAGACCTCAGGAGTTCCGGATGTTCAGCCGTTTTCGGGCGCTGCTTGGCAGGAGGTTTCTTGCAGAGTAGGGGGCCGTGGCGGCCGTGGCCTGTTCAAATGATGTGATCGCCGTTTGCATCTCCCTGTTTCGACGACCTTGGCCACAGAGTGAGCCAGCACATCCAGCTGGGGCTCCATTCTTGGACGGAGATGCGAAAACAACTACCGTAAGCATGGGGGTTGTGCCATGTACTTTTAAACAACTATACTAAAGACTTGACATGGAGACACTGTTCATGTGTGAAATCTTCGCTTTGGCCATGAGCCATGACGCTCAGAGACTGCCCAGGTTGGAGCGGCAGCTGGCTGAACTCAGGGGCGAGGCGGACGTCGTGGGGTCATCCCGGATCAACCTCTTCACAAATTGGGTCGAGTTCCTGAATCTTCACGTGCCAAGTAGGCGGCAGACTGGGGACCATTTTGGGGCGATCCGATCTGGTAATTATGTACCTGTCTTCGCAAGGGGTGCGTTTACTTAGGAAGAAGCACCGCTTTGGACGGGGTTTGACCATCCGCACTGACGGGGAGATGGTTTGGAGGTGTTCGGCCATCTCCATGTCGATGTGTTCGGGTAGTGGGGGGAGTGTGGGGGGTGGTGTTCACTGGGGGAGTTTGAGCACGCTGGATATTTGGACATTTTTGAGAGGTACACTCTCTGAAATCATCATGGACACGTGGACAGGAAAATGGCCCCGAAAACTCGGGGATGACATGAAATCCGGAGACCAAACAGGTGCTGGTATTGCAAGGAGTGTAGAGTGTTTAGTTTTTGCATAGTTCATCATGTTTTGACCTATATTTGTATGACTTGTGACCCTACGCCTTTCGCCCCTTGTTAGAATAAGCCTTCATAACTGACAGAACTGAAAACTCACAGATTGGGAGTTTTGAGAGGTACCTCCCACGGCTGGATTTACGTGCCAAATGCCGTGCCATGCTGTGCTCATGGGGTGGACTACTCAAGGCTCACCGCGGGATATACGCTCGCGGCTCAAGGCTCAAGGATGATCCTTGAAATGTAGGCCCAAGATTTTGTTTGGTTCTGGGGACCCACCTCCAAAGTTCAAGCGTGTTCAAACCAGACATGAGCAGGCGGAAAGGGACAGTTGGGTCTGCCAGGAGGTCTGCCATGCAAGTGATCCAAGTGGACACGATGAGACACCTGCTGTTAGCCATAGACAATGTTCGAGATCAAAACCAATGCATGAACTCGACATCCTACATGCCTGGCAAGTTGCAAGAGTTTGTTTACTCACTCCCCTCCTCTTTCAGAAGCCAATCACCTTACTTATATACATCTTTTCCTTGTTCCTACTCATTCTAAGGAATCCTAGCACAACAGCAACCACTCAAAGCCACACAAGCAGACCAGCAGACGCCAAGGAACCGCACAGACCCCAGGAAGCCCGGCTAGTCCTGCGGCCCAAAGCGGGGGGCAGCCATAGTCACCTTTCCAACAAGCCCCGAAAACAGCACAGGGGCTGCAGATCCGCTGTTTTTTGCTTTTTTGCCATCGCCGCGGGCGCCGTCGGCGCCGTTGGCCGATGACCATGTCAGCGTCCAACGTTCCCAAGGAGCGAAGATGCTCACATGTTGCGGCTCTGGAAGGTAGTGAAACAATACATCTGATGCCACTTAATTATATAGAAGTAATAAGCAACGTTTCAGATCCAAATACACCCGACTTGTGGTTGGGCTGAGCCGGGGAACTTCAAGGGTCGTGTCATGTTCAGTCCAGATCATCCGGAGCTTGCCAGATGGGGCGGGACGGGCGGAAGATGAATCGGAAGACGAATCGATGCGAAGGTCATCGGACTCGCGTGTGTTGGGTGCTCAGAATGGACCTGCAATGCAGTACCTCTTCCATCTCCGAAGCCATGCGAAGCCCTTCCTCCTTCCGAGCTCCTTTTTTTGGTTTTTGTTTGGGTCCGATGATGGCAGGAGACCTCCGAGGAGATCACTTTGACCGTGGCGCTCTTGAGTGGCGAGGCGGGGTGCCATTGGTGGGTGGGGAGGGTACTTCAGGGTATATACTGTGTCTGGGCCACAAGAGTCTACAGGAGTCGGCACTGTAGTAGTCCATTTGCTTTGGGTTGTTGGTAAGAGGATGGACTGAGTTCCTCTTCCATCGAACGATCTTGTCCTAAAGACCACATGCAGAAGGCTTTCTGCCCAACTTATGTGGGTTTGAGAGTCTCTATTCCATTTCTATCCACGCGGTGAACGGTACACTCTCTAAAAGAATCCACATGGTTTGGGAAGAACAAAAGGAGGTGGCCTCATTGTTGATCGTGTCCTCCCTACCCATGAGGCCACCATCTCCCCCCAACGACCCGCGTCCTTCTTGCCGACCCGTTGACGCAGAGAAACCACCCCAACCGCAGGGCGCCAAGATCGTCGCGAACTTGGACTGGACGGTGAACCAACTCCGGCTGCAGGTCGGGTCGTGGGGAATGAGAGACGTCTGCAGGTCGTGTGCTGCGGAGGGACCTCCGCAGCGCCCCACCCGGCCATGTGTTGTAGACTACGTGGAGATGTAGACAGATCCGCCGGTTGACCCTGGTTGACCACCTGGCGAATGAACAGAATCGACTACCTGGGAAGTTCACCTACCCTGGTGGTTTGGGGCTGGGGGTTTTGACCCACAGGCATATAGACCGATCGGCGGTTGACCGATCCGATGAGATGTCCCAAACCTCTTCAGACGTGAGACGTTTCTGTCACGTTGGGAGTGAGTTCGTCCCCCATTGGAAAGATCACGATCTCCTTGAGGTCCACTAGTCAATTCATGAGTAACAACATGACAGCTTCGATCTTCACTGATATTTCATGAAGTGATGCATACTCATGATGGAATCAGATGATCCCTGTGATGCACCGAAGTACCGCCGAGCGGCAGAGCGCCACGTCACCGGTCGTTCGACGGGTTTGGTCCGCCCGGGGGAAGACACTCCTGTCGTTCCGACGGGTTTCTCCCTCGTCGCGATCGAGACGACTCCGGACGGTTCCGTCGAAGGCACAGTGGTCCTTGCGCGTGGGGATTTGCAGTTTAGTGAACTCCGAGGGCGAGGTCTTGCGGCCCGGCGGACGGGCCATTCGGAGGGGTGAGAAGAGGTGGTAATTCTTCGGGTTCGGAGATCGGAGATCGGGAGGAAAGGCATCGAACATCATAGGCACGAAGTGTTGTTAATTGGTCCCACCGGTGACATCGAGGGGGTGACATCGACGTCGAACGACGTCCGGACCGGTGGCTTCGAAGTCGTGATGTGGGAGTGGGGATCCCTGAGTATCTGACTCGGGATAGGTTTCCACTTTACAGGGATCCCCTAAGGCGATAGGGATAGGTCCATAGGTTTTCCAACTATCTTTTGCCTTGGGAGAGGTGGCTTTTTCCATGCCTCTTTCATCACCAGACCGACCCAGACTGGACCTGACTAGAGCTGACTGGACCATCTGGGTGTCCGGAGTCCTGGACATGCAGGGTCGTCCAGCCAGGATGATCTTATAGTGGTTGAGCAAGGTTGCAGTTAAGACAGTGGTTTCTGGGTTTGAACAGGGCAGCAGCTTGAGACAGTCTCACCCCCAAAGCCCTCTCAGTTAGCCAACGGTCAGTGCTTCCCGTATGGATCTCGGTTTCGTAGATGGCAGGATCGTAGAAAGCTGGTTTCTCCCCCGGTTACCCCAGGTGGTGAATCGTCAACTCAACTCAGCTCTAAGGTGCAGGTGGCAGATGTGGTGTCTAGTCGGTGGATTCTAATTATCGAGTCCAAATTGGGGTGCAGTTCATTTTTATCAGAGGGGCTTGCAAAAATGACTCTCACTTTTTTTTGACTCTCAGTTTTCTTGTTTCTGATGCTAATGATTTTGATTCTGATACTAAAGAAGAGGGGGAGGAAGAAGA